AACCTTATTAAGAAGCGTATGCTTACTTCACATTTTAGACTATGAAAAGCAAGTTAGATCAGCTACTGTAACATTAATAAAGGCATTAAAGTACGACAAATGTTTTCTAGTCAATCAAATTTTCCATCTGTGATTCTGAAATTACCCTCCTTGCCTTTCTTAGGTCAGAACAGGTATTAAAAGGAAAAGTAAACACGCAGTAACTAAACACTTTAAATGATTACTTGCTACGAAGAGTCTCTCGGGGATATTTCTTTGAAATTAATTCTTATCCTTTATCATTATCCAGCAGCTTACTTAAATTGTGTGACAGGGCAAAAATGGGAGAAATCAACACCTGAAAACTACTTATTCTTTTAAGTAATGATTTCCAATTTCTCTGGTAAAATGCTTTTATAGACATAAAGTGACTCATTCATCGACGTTAGAATAATAAGTATTAGAGTTTTCAAAGGGTAATATTTACACTGTGCTAGTAGCTGAACTCATTGTACATGTTTCGTATGTACATATTTGTACATTTTTCGACTAACTTTTTAGTTCAGTAACTCATTTCATTTACAGTTTAAATGTAAGGTTATCTTAAAACTCTTCTAGCAGAATCCAGGTGTATCGCTCATATTTTAGAACTGAAAACGCTGAATTTGGCCTTGAATATATTTTAAATAACCTTCAAAAATCGGCAAGATGTACAAAGAAGAAATAATCAAAAGATTTCAAAAACTATTATCATTTTTACCCCAAAATATTTCATTTTAAGGAATGTTTATTCTCTTATAATAATGACAGCAATATTTATCATTTTGCTTGTAATCATAAGTAATCACAGATCTGTCGCATAATAAAGGACTGAGTAATTAATTTCTTAAAAAGTGAGAAGGAAATGAAATACCTTTATTATATTCAGGGAGTTAATTATTTACTCTTTTATGCTATGACATGAATTTAAAAAATTCAATTCAGAAATCCTGTTTCGGGTCTTATTTAAGTTCGGATGACTAGCTCTTTTCAATTATTTTGCTCGCCATTTTTCTTTTGTCCGCTAGGATCTGCAGATGGAAATTTTGAATTGATTTTTGCAATTCATTTTTTAGAAGAGAAATTCTAAACGTCTTTTAAAACTCATAATGATGCAAAATTTGTGTGACGGAACTTACTGAAGTAAGAAAAGAAAATAACCATAAAATAAAAATATATTCTTGTTCCATAAATTAGGGGAAAATCGTTTCTTTATTGAATATGTTTCCTCGTGGATGTCTGAAATTTTCGAGCCAGAACATCTGCATTTCAAATATTTTTCTCAAAAAAGATAAGACTGCAAAGTACAAAATAAAATAATTGGTTGTGAAAGCATTCATTTTTTTATATTTCCTTTAAATTGATGATATTATTATTATAGTTGCTGATACAATTTTAAGAACATCCTTTATTCTAAAAACGTAAATGTTCGACTAAACGCAAGACATCTTCAAAGAGTGCGGATAAACAGAAAATTTCTCGCAGCTAAAGATTGCTACAATTGCTACGAAAAGCTTGTTACGAATTTTGTATTTAAATGACTAATTTTAGTAGAATTATAATTAAAATTGTTGTATTTCTCCGTGCAATGTACAGCGAGACTAATTTTAAGAGAAAGCAATGCAGAAAAAGTAAAAATATAGGAGAACATGCATTTAACATTGACTAAATGGATATCTCGGTAATCTGTATTGAAATTGAATCAATATAATTGACCACTATGTTAGCTGTAACAGTAATTCCATCCTCTTAGTGGTTTTCAGCAATCTCGAGAAGCAGAAAATGCTAAAACTACCTCACGCCGCCTGTCGAAAACTGTTTAAAGTCGAAGAGAGACATCTCATCTCAGTTGTTTAGTTAGTTGCTTATTTACTCTTCTTGCGATTTGCAGTTTCGCGTAAACTGAGATAATCTGGAGTTAGCTTTCTCTTTAGATAACTCTTTGCATTACGTTGTGTTTTAACGTTTTTAGTAGTTTGAAGTATAGCTACTGATTATACTGCTCAATACTGTGTCCACCTGTACAAATATCTCTGAGAAGAATTCAAGCGTTCTGATATATTTCTTTTGACAAGGATAAATTTTATTAACCTATTATCGGACTTGTGCATTCAGTCTGCAGTTATCAATCTGTACATTATTCTGTAATATGACTATCTCATATTACCAAATATGGTGCTAAAATTATATAACACATTGTATTTATAATATAAAATCATGTTGCATAGTACAAGAGTATGCAACTGAGGGTTAAATGCATGTAATATTCTGAGACAGCTAACATAATGTTGACGCAACACTATTAGTGTAAATGATTAAAAAATATTTCATATCCTTTTATTTCTGTCAGAAAAAAAACGGCTTTACAATTTCAAAATATTAGGATTCATTTGGAGTTTCATATGATAATATAAAAAAGAAACCCAGTATATCGGAGAAAGTGAAAATAAATTCTTCAATTCACTTTATTCCTTTTCAAACAAATTTACCTCAATTGAATCATTCTTATTAAATTTTAGCGCCGGTACTCTCAGCCATTAAAAGTATTTTAAATGGCAGGAATAAAGGTAAGACAATAAAGGTGAACTAAAACGAATTACCACACACTACTGCTTATTTCATATAATTCTTTGCAGTTAAGAATTTCTACCGCTTCGCTGCTTAATTCTTTTACCTTCGGTCACGAGTTGTCGAGATTTACTTGTAGACGCTTATCCTGAATGAGCTTAATATAAATCAAAATTTCTCGCTTTAGAATCTATTTCTTTTAATTAAATTAAGTACTTTTGCTTTTTAAATTAAGTTATACGAGTTACATGCATGTCAATTTATATTTTATTCAGAATATTTGCTGTATCGCTCAGGTATTTCATGGACTGCGCTTTGAATAAACTAATATTAAACTCTTTCTCCTGGCTCTTGGCTTAATTGCTTCATATTAATTTCATCAATAGAGCGAAAAAAGGTAAATCAGAAGTTTGCGTACTAAACTGGAACGTAAACTGGGGAAGCAAAATCACATTTCACGTATATTGGCATCATCGTACATTTCTTATGCATCTCAAAGGAAGCTTTTTCAATGTGTTTAATATTTTCAATTGGAGGCTCTGAGGATTTTGCGAACTAGGAAGTAGTACTCTTGAACAAAGTATTGGGTTGTTGCAAAGATAATGGTCGATTCTAAGTACGACTGAAAAAGAAGATTATAAAAAATCTCCAACAACATCATTGCATTGCTACTAACCTATGGCAAAGTCATTTATACCACGATTATAAAAATCAGTGTCTCTAAAAGTGATGAAATCCTCCATTGCGAGATACGTTGATGCATCCCTGACGAAACATTTCTTAGAGAAAAATGGCTCAAGTGTCTAAAAAATGGTAATCATTTGGAGAAATATCAGGAGAGTATGGTTGACAGTGTCGTATGTGGCGGGACGTTACCTTAGGACAATACGCTTTTATATCTGTTCACAAATATTGATTGCTTAAGGCCCAATTTATCGTATATTTGCCAGATATCTGTACAATATCGAGGTGCATTTATCGTTTGACCTAGTGGAAGCAATTAATGGTGAGTAACTCAAGAAGACCACCATGCAGTAGACATTGTCTTCTTTAGAAGCAAAGACGCCTTCGTAGTCCTTCTTGGTCCGCCCTTAGCTTCCATTTAGTATGACGAACATGTGAGATTGTTCTAGAATATCCACATTCACAATTCATTGCAGAGATCTTTCTTCTTTCTTTACTTTTCCTTAAGAGAGAACAACGCACTACCAAACTACTACTTTGATTACATCAATGAATTCGTGAAGCACACACAGATTAAGCTTCCTCATGCCTAGGTAACACCCCCGTACAGTTCACCATGGATATGATTAGACTGAATCCTTTAATTCATTCGAATCAATGGATGAAGGATGATAATCACGAGATTAATTTTTCAGCCTCGAATTTATTTTTCCTTCTCTTGCAAAGAAATTTTGCTAACGAACAATGAGTTGATCTCCCATTAGTTGTTCTTCCACTAAGCACACAGTCTCTGAAGAATTTCCCATGTTGAGCTCGTAAATGTATAGAAGCCTTTGTTTACTGGATTTCGTTTTATGATTGACTAGATGTCGTTAATATTCACTATTTAATTTTCGCTGAATGAAACAAAAACTACAGTTGCATCATCAACGGGAAACGCTGTCATATGACATAAAAAACTTGCATTAAATTCGGTATTTTCTTAGTTTTAGACTCAGTAATTAGTAATTCAGTGATCATTTCCATTGCAACAACCGAATATTTGTCGGCTGCCTTATGCACAAGAGACCCAGCGAAATCAGTCATTTGCTATTAAATAAGCGCATAAGTCTCCATGTGGCATTACGTTAGGATGAAATACCAGCGCAACAAGTTTGATTATATCATTTATTTATGGCATTTTGAACAGCTTATATTAAATATATTTATTTTTCCATATCTTTAATTTTTAGATGACTGATTTTTAAACAGTTTAACTCATCATATCTACTTTGTCTAAAATTGCATCAGGTATTAAACTGAAATCTGGGTCCTAAAATCCATTTGCGATTTTATACATTAAGATTTTTATGTTTTTATTTTTTTTAATATTTTTCTAACTTTTTGAAATTTAATGGTAAGCTGTTCTACTGTAATCTAAAGATTGAAGTTAAGTTGTCTTGTGTTAAGCCATCCATTACTGCTTACACTAATCATAGTATGCTTATAAATAAAAGTAAAACTTCAAACCGGAATGTTATTTCGAATCACACGCTTTTAATATGCCTTCAGCACTATTTAGCAGTTATTTGCAGGAGAGTCTGTATTAAAAGAGCTGTCTAGGTCATATAAAGATAATTAATTTGATACAAACACAGGCTTAAGAAATGAAATACAGCTAACTGTCTTCAAATTATAAGGATCATTTTTCCCAAATTTGGATTCCAATCTAATAAATAATTTTCTTACAGGGCCCAAGTTATGAGTGGCCTGGTGATTTACCCCAACAAGCACTCACTATATTGCATCAGCATGCTATACAAGGAGATATAACCGAATTACAACAGTCACTCTGGTAAGAAAAGTTAATTATTTAGTTCTCTGCAATATTAAATTACTGAAGATGAAATATGAAGCCTGTTACCTTAAGCCAAGTTAAATTATATTGATAGTATTTAAAAATTTATTTAGGAAAATAATTTAGTAGTGAATCCGAAATGGTATTTGTAGTTTTTCTCACTTGAGAAAAACGCTAACACTCTTTATTTTCTCCAGTGCTATTCAAGAGTCATCGATCATTAACAGGGCGGAATACCAAGAACGGTGAGCGGAAGGGAAGAAGGTAACAATTAGTATAGCATGAGTCTCACACAAAAACCGAAATTTGCTATGTTAGGGGGGATGTAGGAGCATCATCATAAATAGCTCTGCATGATATCTCAGTTGATATCCTGAACAAAATGGAGAGAAACGTACTATGTTATCAATGTATTTATATATAGAAGACCACTCTGTTGACATAGTAATAGAAGAGTCCACTGCTATAGCCTTGGACTGGGTTCGAATCCCACAGAAGACATAAACATTTGTGAATATGTAATGCCTTTGCAGCATAGCACACTTAAAATATTGTCTATCCGAAAGTCCTCTCGAGAGGATGATGGCAGATGATGAGAGATAGAAGACATTCGGATTCGTCTTCCGAGAGGTCCCCATTAAAAACTGGAGCTAGGCAAACTGATACTGTCGCCTGTAATATTCTAGGTCTATACTAGCGATAAGCGCTACCCCTCCCCCTTTGACCACGATAAAATTTCCTAGACTTGATTTGGATGAAGCTTAGGTGGAAGGATTAGCGATTAGTCACAGTGAGAACATGCTGAAAACTATGATTGTCACTTCCATTATTTGCTATAAACGGATACTCTTTATTAAGTTGCACTGCAACTTAAAATTCTAAGGATTAAAACTATGTACTTAAAACAAAATAAATCATAGATGAAATAAAAATGTGACTATTTTAGATAAGAGTTTGTGGATCCCGAATCCCCTGTAAGGCAGCTTTGGTTAAAGTCACTCTTTAGTAACTTCTCCTTTCACTATGGAATTTTAGATCTGCTTTGTTCATAATGTAGATATTTGTCGAAGTAGCAATCACGATAAATTATTAATGCCCTCCCCGGGCTTCAAACTCCGGACTTCCCGATTGCTGGGCTGGACGTGCTTCCATTTACAACACGAATCCACACGACACCACACAGGAGAGAGGAAATTCCTTACATTATCTCCCACTTCGAGGGTGACTGGAGAGGAGGAGATCCAGTCGCCAAATTTTGGTGGCGACGAATTATTGTATGCAATGTTTCAGTGCGGGTGCCACTAAAGATTGTTTTAGAATTTGTTGGACTGAAACATGAGAAATCGAGTAATATCTTCTCCGAAAATCGAACTCCAGTCCTCCAGCTGCCAGTTGCGTTGGTGGTCTGTATGCTCTAATTTTTATCAACATATTTATTCATTGTTTGATTTCAGTGATTATAAAAATTTTTCATATTTTTAAAATTATTATTGCCTTAAATTTTCCAGTGATCGATAAAGTGCGAAATACATTTATTGGCTAAAAAGGGAAACAAATTTATGCTCTTTTTTATTAAGAAAAGAGAATATGAAATTTAATTTTGTTTTATTTAATTATTCTTTTATTCTGAATTTTGTTGTGATGTTATCAAGAATTATTTTTAGATTACTAATCAAGCCTTTTATTTTGGAATTATTTATTGATTTTATTTTAGAATTTTATTACTGTATCAAGAAGTATTTTTACTAGATTACTACTCAAGCCTTTTATTTTAAAATTACGTAAACCCTAATTTCTCTTTTTAAACTAACACAAAATTCCATGTTTGTTTCTTATGTGTTTTCAATACACGAATCGTCGCTTCTGCAGTCAGTGGGTTGCTTACTATCGGAAACACCGGGAAGTAACTCTTGATTATGCCCTCATACACCAGCAACTTGATGAGCTAAATACAAGCTGGGATAGAAATGAAGAAGCTCTTACATTGGAAGAGGTAAGAAAGGTATATTTATGGAATAAAAAGAACGAAATTATTCTTGTAAAAAAGTAGCTTGTTTCTGAACAGGAAACATTACTCATACAGTATATTCTAGTGCTTAAAAGTGGAATTTTCACGGAAACGATGGGTATACCTTATATATAAATATTTATAAGACAAATAAATATTTATAAGACATAATACCTTACCAAAGCGTATGCTGGCAATGACGTCTCTCTATTCTAATCCTTTTTTCTAAGCCTTTCACCATGTTCCTAATACCTTCACGAAGATTTACTTTATCTATGCTTGGATGAAACCAAGTATGGATAAAGTAAAGCTTAGAAAAAAGAGCAAGTATAGATAAAGTTCATTTTCACTTTTTTCAAAGTATGTGCTTGTTTGCGTACTTTTTGTTTCAAAATGACTCTACAAAAAATGATCTAAACTGGTAAGATCTGAAGGCCACAGCCTCTGTTGCTAAAAGGCTCCTCCAATATATTCAAGGTAGATTCTGTTATGTAGTATGTAACATAATGTAGTCATAACCAAAAGTGGTGCTCATTTTCTGCAGTAAAGCAACGAGCTTCTAGTTGATATCTTCGTAGTTCTTAGTGTCCCGTGTTTGTCAAGAACAGGTGCTCGATTATTTGTCGTCTTGATATGGCATATCAAACATCAGTTTTACAAAATGCAAAGGAAACTCGATAGATTCAGATTTCCATAGTCCCATATTGTATAATTTTTGCTATAGATATAGTATACACTTAAACGAAACCATGGCTGATCTGCAAAAAACACCTGATATTAGCTGGAAGTGTCTATTAACTATTATTATTAAGGATTTATAGTTTTAAAACTATAAACGTTATCTAACCCTTTTCCAGTTTTGAGAAATTCTCCGTCCCCCATACTCATCAAAATTGATTTATCAACCTCCTACAGATGACTGAGAAATACAACAATCAAAGATTAACTGCAAACAATGAAAAAACATAAAATTAGGTCTATAAATAAATCAATAGTCATATAGTGCCCTAACAGCAGATGAAAGTTGTTGCTCTTAAAAAACATTCAGGCCAATGTTTTATTCAGGTTCACATCTAGTTTAACTTCGCAGATTTCACATGTGCTATATTGTTGCTTTCTTCAAGAAACGAAATTTTATCATGCGTCCTAAAACGAGTGATATAAAGTTTTAGCAACAATGCACTGTGGAATTTCATTTCATATTGGGGCACAACGCGATTTTGAAAAATTCAAGAGGCCTTTTCAGAAGGCCTAGAATCAACTGAAGACGTTTCTTGCTTCAAAAGCCATCATCTAAAAAAACACATTAAAATGTGAACACAGTGAGGGATTTTTTCGAACAGATTGTATGATAAATCGTGAACTACAAAAGCGGGTGGTTTGTGTGAGGTCAGTTTGTAGAGTCATTAGGTTAATTGGAAGCAGAAAAGATGAAAAATATGCAACCGCCTTCCCCAAGAATCGAACCATAGACCTCTGGAATACCGGCCCAGCGTGCTACCGTTACACCGCGAAGGCACGCTAGGGAAGTGGTAGAAATGCCTTATAAGTTAACAAATAAACTAAGATGTTTCATGACAATATACCCTTCACACGACGCTTTTCGTAGCAGGAATTTTGGCTCAAAAAGACATCTCTGTTGACCCTCTGCGCCCATATTCGCCTGACTTCAGCCCTATGACCTTTTCTTATTCCCCAGACTTAAACCCATTTAAAAGGATACCATTTAATAACCATAGAAAATATTAAAGAGGCCGTGATCGACAAAGTGAAGGATATTTTGAGTTTGGAGTATCAGCACTGCAATGAAGTGTCGGCTTCACGTCTCGGGCAACATGCAACTTGCCAAGAGAACTGCTTTGAAGGAGATTGAGTGGATTTGTAATTTAGATGTAAACAAAAATGCCCCTATAAAAAGACACGTTACTTTGTTTATGGAATTTCCATACAAGTGCGGTCCGCTTTAAACTTATACACCTTGCATATTTTACGTGTTTCACTACAGAAATTTATGGGAAACTTTACAATTAGTAGAATAGTCTAGCCCTGATTTTGGTTGAATCTTTTCTTAGGATAAATTTATCATAAGAGTAATTGGCTAACTAAGAGAATCTTCTGAAAATATAAACTGATAGTAATAATAATAAAACCAACTTGAAAAATTAATTAATAATAAACCAGTTTAATATTAAAATAATTTAGCAGTTTAATAATAAAAACCAGCTTGAAAGTAGGTTACATTAACTACGTAACAACAATAAATATTAATAATCATGTGTAAAATACAAATATGTACTGGTTGTTTTAAAAGGTTTGCAGGATTAAATATCATTTAAATGGTTGGTCACAAACCTATGCTTATAGCTTAACAAATGAATTGTAATAAGTTAAGTTTTCAGGCTTCTACAATTTTTGTTGCTTTATATTTTTTAAGAAAAAACATTCAAAATTTAAATATTTTTCGGAAGCCGTAGAAAAAAGAAATCAATGTTAAGAAAGTTTTTCATAGTCAAAATAATCAAAGAAACAGTATTCATTCTCTAAAGCGAAAAATGTTCCCAGCTACAAACATAAATTGAAGATAATATGCAAATATCATTAAAGATAACTACGCCAGTAAATTCCTGAATTAAAATTATAAGAGCTACAGAAAAACCTGGCTATATATGGTTTACAAATATCTTTTCCTAGAAATGCTATAGTTAAAAAATTTCATCTAACATAATTGAAGTGCTTTACGTCCGTATAAATGGGCTGTTCAGGCCATTTTTTAAACAAGAAAAATCATATAATATCACAATCTTTAGGTCACGTTTTTCTCACTTTGAAACCCTAACATATTCAATGCATTTATTAACTTGGAGCCATGGATTCAACCAAACTTTTAAATTACATATGGTCTTTAACGAAAATTTTCACCTTCACATAATGTTTCTAAGAAAACACTTTTGATTTCCCTCGGTGATTGCTTTTGTTCTTTTTCTGCAGATAATACATTACACCTTTTTTCCGCTTGGACTTTATGTTTCTTAAGCCCAAATACCAAGCCACTGAATACTTGCTTTCTTCAGATGCCACTAGCGATAGGATAGCTCAGATTCTTCGCTTCTTCATTTATCTTGAACAGGACTACCTAAGCGAGATAAATGATCGATCTCTACAAGTTTCTACTGGAAGTCCTGATGCTAAAATACCTTATTGCAAAGGACAGATATTAGGTGCAAAAAATGAAACACCTTTTGTTGAAAATGAAAGTAATAGTAAAATAACATCGACAATTTTATGACTAGTGTATCTCAACTTTATCAAGCCTGTTGACGACGAAACACAAATTTCTTCGTGCAGTAGAGTTACTGTAAAGAGGTTTTTCTATTTTCTGATCAGTCGCATTTTTGTTTCGAGTCTTATATGCACAGAATTTTCACAACCGCAGATAAAAATGAATACCTTGTATAGAAAATGAGATTTAAATAATCTAAAACATTTTCAGACTAATTTTTCTCGCTTTATTCAAAATGTAAACGAGAAAACTGACTAAATTCGTTTCATAAAATTATTGTAAGGAACATTTTTGTATTTTCTAATCAGTCAGCGTTTTGTTTCATGTTCTCGCATGAATGTTTTCACCAACTCATTCCAGACATAAAGGATGAATGAAATTCAAAAAGTTAGAATATAGACTTAGGTATAACTTATTTTAAAATGTAATTTATTAATTTGAGATTAGCTGGGACTATTCATAACTTCCTTTAATCATTGACTGCCACTATAATCTGTTAACTTAAAATAGGAACTTCAAGACCGTTGCCAATTCCCTCCCCATTTACTATCGTAACCCCTGTCGTCATCACCACACAGCATTTTCTGTATATAATTTCAAAGTGTAACTCAAGTCAGCCTTCATTCGCGTGCTTTTCATGAAGCAAAACTCGCTACACGGAAATGAAAATGGGTGGGAAAAAGTGCTTCGACCTCTTCTTCTTAGCTGTTGTTCTTCTAATGGTTTCGAGTCTAGTCGGACGTCGGAAACAACTTGAAATTCCTATTTTAAAATAATAGACTATAGTAGTTAATAAGAGTTCTCCTGTGAAAGAATTAGGAATCATCCAAAAGTGAAACAGCCTAGAAATGAATTTGATTTACATTTAAATGTGTCAGTAGAAAGATGTTTAAGTGGGCATGGACATACATTTTATGAGGTTCAGTTCGTTTACTGTTATTACTGTAAATATTTCTGTGAAACTGTCAGACTGCAAACTTCAAAAATTTTCTCTTATATTAATAAACAAAAATATCCAAGCTGAGCTTGAAATAAATTAAACAGTGTTAATCATACTTGTTTGCTGTCTGAATTAATTTTTTTTTTTTTTTTTTTTTTTTTTTTTTTTTTTTTAAGAGAGATAATTCTTATTTTTGCACGGGTATAAATAATTTTACTGTTTTCTGGAATTATCGTATTTCATGTGCTGAAATCATATTTGAATAAATCTTTAGTGGTTTTCCTCTCTAGGAAACTGATACGGCAGATATCTTCAACGAGTTTTCAGAACGTTGTATTGAGTTACTGCGTGAACATCGTAAATATTTTCCTCCTCACAACGCTCATGCCTGGCACAAGTTGAAATTCCTGCTGAAGTATGTGTTCCTTTTTTTCAAGTTATCTCTTTATCACAACCATTATCTATTAAATAAAGCTCATATTTCCATGCTGTATTCTCCATAAAATGTGATTAGATCTCTAGGTACTTTATTTTGCTCTGATAAAATTTATTTTGCACAGATTAAATTATTTATTGAATAAAATTAGGTGAACAAAAAGATCTGTTTAAAAACTAAGGACATAAAATCATGTATATCAGTAGAAATATATAATCAATGCTGGTATTTTTTTTGTCAACTTAAAACCAATAAGATACAATAATACAGGATACAATAAGATACAATAATACATTTTACAATAATACAGGATTTTATCAGTACTTTTTAATGACAATACCAAATCATTCTAACAGGCAGGTAAAAGGGACTACATATTGTTTTAATTTGTAGTACCATATTCCAATTTCCTGCATTCACTTTAATTATTAATAATTGTTATGTTCAAGAGAACATTACAGAAAAATGTAAAGGTTTCTAGAACTCAATAAATCTACATCTGTGGACATAGGATTATGAAATTCATACGTAAATCGTTCAGAAATAAATAAAAGACGGCTGTTTAATTTTCTTTATTGTTCCTTTAATAAATTTACATTTTTCTCATGCAAAACTCAAGGGAAGCAGAATTTATTGTTGATACATAATTTTACAGGAAAACTCTGAGATATGAATCAATGCATGTTGCGTAAGAAATATTGTGCAAAAGTTTATTAGTCTTTCAAAATTTATAATGGATTTTGATAGGGTTAAAATAATTTTTTAACTAAAAGAATTATTTACGTACGAAATTAATAAACACGAAATACTGATAAACTAAGTTATGTAAAATTCTGAGCCACATGCTGTAGAACTATATTCTCTATATATATAAATTTATTTCTAGTAAAAGTAACGCAAAGGGAAAACGTACCAATTGTAGTGTGGGAATATGCGCATATATATTCCCTCATACTGTATGTTGCATATAATCCTTATTGTGTACAATCCTTGTTATGAATCAATAAACAGGGCCGTACCGCATGAACTGTTTGCAGCCACATCGTGGATTTTTAAGCTTATACGTGAGCTGCAAACTTTCTACTTGCGTCCTGTTGCGCTTCTAAAGAATTATAAGAATTTCCTGTTCAAGAAGTGGCATTTTATTCTCTTACAGTAATAATCATATTTTATTTTGTAGAATAAGTAAAGCTCCCAAATGTGACCATTGCATTCACGTGAGTTTAAATACCGGCATGAAGAATCATAATATGGAGATTTTGTACAGTTTATCCAGAACAGTGATATGGTATTGATTCCCTATGCCAAAGCCAAGACTATGAGATTTTTCTCGTCCATAGCTATGCTGTTTCCAAGAAATGATCTTCGCCACTTCATCTGAGATTTCATTTCAAGTCTTCTTTTATCCGTATGCGCTAAACACCCAACCTAAATGGATATAAAGGGAATTTAATGTCTTCAACCCTGTTAGCGGTAGACATTACAATGGTTACAAGATAAAAGAAATGACTTTGAATCGCCTCTTTTCACCAACCAGAGAATAACTTAGTACCAACAGCAAATAGTAGAAGATAGCTACGCAGAATATTAAATGTGCGTTGTATGTACTTTCCCCCGAAGTGACTATATTCATGTTTGGTCTTGCAAAAGAGCTATTCAAATAACTGAATTTACAATAATTAAAGTCTTACAGCAAGGCAAAGGGACTTAATTCGGTTTTCTTCTCGCTTGCAAAATGACCAGATTAAAATTTTGATTTAAAACCAAACAATCTAGAAAAGGCTTTGTGTTCAAAACATTCGCAAAGCATGGCTGTAGAAGAGTTCTGCTTGAAATGTAAAAAGTTATTACCTAATCACTTTCAAAGTAATACTTATTAAAACTCATACAATTGCTCCATCGCTTCTGGTAGTTCTAGAAGTAGTAGTAGAATGCCAGTTTCGGCAATTTTCCATAGAGTAATTTCTGCGTCATTTTGACTAGTTTAGTTGCCTGAAAACGTTGACCTCGTAAAACCATCTTGATAAGAAAGGACTGAGAAGTCAAAGAGGGAGAAATCGTAGAAATAACGGAACCGTGGCATAACAAGGACAACTCAAACCTCTTTACTGAGAAGCCCTCTGATCAAAATGGGAATTAGAACCGAACGCTGGAAAGACGCTTTAACTCAGTTTGCGGATAGAAGCGAACTTAGCGAAAGGAATCATTTGAAAATAATTCGTAGGGCAAAAACGATTCTGGATTTTGATTTTGACACAAGCGCCAGACTTTTATGGCCGGAAGAGTTATTAAGTTGCTCGTACTTCATCTTGGAAATAAAATTCTTTTCTAACGTAAATATCCAAAAAGCTACTGTGTTGAAAGTTTACAAAGACAACTGAAAGTAATTTTCAACTAAATAAATAACCTTCTGACGTAAAAATACAAGTCTGTCTACGTGTTTTTCCTCCTTTCCTTACTTTCCACGCTTTGCATCAGATTTCCATATTATGAAACTTTTAAGCTACAAACAGTACACCGGGGAAGGGGCGGACAGAGGCCATAGAATAAGAATTAATTAAGCAAATAGGAAATTAAATTTCAAAATTTTCTTAATGTTTTTTTCCCCAATTTTTAAAAGGCAGGTCGACTGTAAATTTTACTTCTGAATTGGAATGTGCAGTTATTTCAAATTAAGTCGCATCTTTCAGGATTACGCATTATGGGACAAATAGAGTAACGCATGATGGTAATAAACTCAATACCCTTTATCATTATTATTAAAATTATGCTCTGAAGTAAAATTCTATATTTTTTTTAACTGAGAATAATATTAATTTTGCATTTCGAGACATTTTATGATGAACAACTAGCACTCTAATTACCGTATATTCCGGAGCACAAAGCGCACTTTTAATACAAAAAATAAGATTGAAATTTAAGGGTGCCTGGATATAAAAATATAGATATATAAATAAATATATATATAAAAATTAGGAAAAGAAGAGTATACAGAAATCAGATTTCTATATCTGTATAAATGTTGTTTATTTAAAAGAAATGACGCACCTTTAAAAATTTTCATTATCAAATTATTTCCTTTACATAAAGCATATTAATTATTGTGCTTTCATTCATTCAGAGAAAACATATGACTCCTAATTGCGCGAATTCATTCGCGTCCGAAGTTCTTACCCCGTGTTATGTCCCCCTTATCGCGAAACCCTAAACTAATATTCTTGTACACAGCTGCACTGAATACAACCCATCCTCTTTGTAGAATTATTTAATTAAGCATTTCCCCCACATACATATCGTTTCCCTTAGCGCTTGTCCATTCCGTATGCCCTTGTTCGAAATTCTGGGGAAAATGTTCGCATGAATGACTTCAGAAGATTAGAGCATAAAGAAAACGGTGCACGTTATACGGAAAATATACCTAAAAATTCAAATATGTAGTTTGAAATTATACACCAGGGCGCATTATACGCCAAAATATACGGTACTCATAAATGCTTGCAATACCTTCTTAAATAGGTTTTAACGTTTTATCTTTATGAGTTTATCCACCATTTAATACAAAAAATAAATAAAATAATACTACGTTTGAGAAAACTTAGGGTTCGGTGACTTTAAGCATTATTATAAAATTTACTTTACCTGGAAAATATATCTTCTTTTGTGTAATATCATCTCATTAATCATTGTCATCTTTATCATATCACCTGCACATGTACTTCCTTTGCTTAGCGAGACTATATTTTAATCGTCTTCAGTTTTTTTTTTCTTTTCTTTTCGTTATATCTAATAGTTTTATTTTTTATATTTCTTTACTTCAATATTTTTCTTTTCTTCAAATATTTCTCTTTTCTTTATATTACATCTTTACAATTACTAATGCTTTCGGCATCATAATTACTTTAACTGCCTTCTTTTATATTATAATGATGTCTTTATATAATTTACAGTTCGCGCATTTTAATTTCCGCTATTTTCAGAATCTTAATAAATTTTCCAGTCTTTCATTTTTCGAGTTAATAGTATTCTCTTACAATTTTGTGCAGAATATGGTTGCAATCTCTCTCGCAGAACTGCTGCATTGACCATAAATGAGGTTTTCTTGCATATTTAAAAACGCACATTATCTTCTGAACGTCTATTAACAGAAACCTCAACAATACAGTGTCTGCCTTTTATTTCATAGTAAGACAATGAATAAAAAATATTTTAAGGTAAATTTTGTCATTTTCTAGGTTAACATTATTATCATTCTCCTTATACAATTAAGTTCGAAGCTATGCAGTAAACAACCGAAATTATCTATTTTTCGTGTATTAAATTCTCAGCATGCGTCCTAATAACATCGTGGTTAACTAAAATATAGCCTTTCAATAGAAAACCTTTTCTTATCTCTGATCAGGCTTTCGTAAGGTGTTAAAGGACTTATCTTGTATGTATATATAGAGACACAATAGGGTGCAAAGTGTTAAAATACGGAAAGAGTTCTATGGAAGTTGATTATATCAATAAATATGGTCATAAATTCAGTTTAATTCTCATACTTTTATGACATATTGGTATTTATATTCATGTGTATTAATTACTAGTTTAAATATTGGGTTATAAACGAAGGATTTCATAGAATGGTACGCATTTCAGGTATATTAAATAAATGTTAGAAACACAAATTTATAAAAAAAATTGAAGTAAACAACTACATGACTCTTATACGGCCTATTAAATTATACACACATTTTCCTGCACTTCATTTAATCTTATTTATTCGAATTATTTTAATTTAATTAACCGATCTCTCAAGAAAAGTTGAAAATGATATCAAAAACTGCAAATTTTCATTAAATATCCCGGCCAATTTTTGTCGTAAAGAAGTTAAATTTCTTGGATTTTTACTTTCTTATAACGAGTATAAAACTTTTCCAGGTGTAAGTATAGGAAACAAGAGACGGCCATTAAAAGTTAGATTTCGTTATTTGTCCAAAATAATTTTTTTTACATTTGACATTACCAAAACATAAATATTTTTATTATTCAAAACACTTTTGTAATAGATTATGACCAACGATTACGATAACAAAGGCCGGGTACGAACTTTTAAGCTGGATAAGGAAAGCGGGTACGGTACATATAAATATACATATATATATATATATATATATATATATATTAATGCGTAGAAGTAAACACTGGATCTTTTAACAGCTTTCAATATCTGTCATGACTGAGAAGACAGTAGTGGCTTAGGGTGACGCAGTTAACACAATTGAGCTTGAAGTAACGCCATCTTTATTTTCACGCGCATCAAACCATCATAGTAGAGATTTATCCAATCATAATTAAGTACGATAATTTTCATAAACACTGGTTTTAACAGTATGACGTAAGTATTTTGGACAGGACGGCATAAGCGGAATGACGTAGTTGTTGTGCCAAGAGTATTTATACTATGTATGATGGAGAGAGTACTCTAAGCTATGATTGGTTAATTTTAGGTTGTTATGTAACATGGAAAGATCTCGAATTTGGGAGAACAGATGAATTTAGGTCACCAAGTATTCTTAAAACAACCATCGTATTTTATTATATCTTACATATATATATACTCTTGGTAATGCTGGTTGTAATAAAAAGAGGAGGTACACAATTAGATGTTATAGCAATTTCGTATACAAAATTTCAACGTTCTACGGTTAATCGGTTTTAAGTTACGCGAGATATATACATACGTACGTACGCACACACGGTCAAGAAAACATCCCTTGGAATCCATCTTAAATCCATTTTTCAATCCGTTCTGGAAAAAAAAAAAAAAAAAAAAAAAAAAAAGAGTCCTTTATTTTGTGCGTACGGACAAGCGCAATGCAAAAAAAATCTTCCAAATGGATTCGGGAGCAGTCAAATTGGATATTTCCGTTGAAATATGATACCCGAAATTTTACGCGATTGCAATATACCCTGTACTTTATACAAAGAAGTAAAAATAATTGCGTAGACTTTAATGTAATTTAGGTATACATATAGTTTAGATAAGTATAAATTTTAACAGTTGTTTATCTTTAGAAACTGCAGTGCTTTTAGTTACCTATTTTGTAATCCCATGTAAAATATTTTTGTTTCATCTGAATATATAAATTTAATACGACATAAATATCCTGTTTTTAAGGTAAACATTTAAACCTTTCTTTAGAAGCTACTAGAGGTAACTATATGTTTTGGCATACTTAAATAACTTTCGCAATTACTAAATTGCTGCCACATATTTGAAATTAAATTTTTCACAGCTAAAATAAGAATAACAACTCAGCAACTGAATTATAATCAGAAAACTAATGCTTTTATTTCTCATATTTTAAATAAAAACTTGAGGAGAAAATATCTTGCTTATTGGTTATAATGTAACTTTGTCATAGATTTAAAACAGGAATGTATGGAAAGGTATAATTAAATTTCCAGATGTATGTATTTTCCTTAATCTTTAAATAAAATCTTTAATAAAATTTACAATAAAAACACAAATATTTGTTTTAAATTATGGTATAAATCATACTAAGAACATTGCTAATGGAAGAAACGAAAAGAACACTAATGGACTGATCTTGCCAACGTTTTGTGTGTTTACAGAAGCACAAAATGAAATAAAAGAGATTTTAAGGATAAACATAAAAAATAAGGATTTGAGACCATTAAAAAAATTAATGGATCTCACAAAGGCGCTCAAACTCTCTTATAATTTTTTCCTTTAGATGTGTGTCCTTTCTGTATTCGATGAACGCCTTCAAGTCATGCTTTCCATTTAGGAATGAGCTGCATGTTGAAGTGACAGGCAATCTAAAGGTAAAGCATTAAAATTTGTGTTTTCTTTTAAGTAATGCATTAAATTTATTAGTAATGCGTGAGACAGTGAATAGTATTTTTGAAATGAAAAGTACAATTAACAATCCCCTCAGTGCAAGAACAATCTGTATTCGTTAATGCATCTATCTAAATATTTATTTATAAATACATAGGTCATAATCCTATATGATATTTTCCATGAATATTTATATGTAATCTTGAGAAGAATTGATCTCAGACTGCATTTGATTCCTTTACTTCCTTCTTCTCTCGGATAGATGTCTAAGTACTTATTTCTATTTAAATGGCCTGTTATAAAAGTTCTATATGTGACGAAATAACCTGTTAAATTTTCTGCTCTATCTGTATAGTAAATAAAGGTCCACTCTTCACAAGTTTTAACGTATATATTAAGGTCTGGTCCCGTATTTCTTGTCCAATAACAAAATGATAATTCGAAATATTAAATAACGAAATACATAGAAATAGAAATAGAAATTTAATAAATTATGTTACATTATACAAGTAGTTTTATCTAAAATAAACCACTCCAAGGAAAGAATTTAATAAAAAATAATAGGATAAATTCCAGTGAGTTTTTCATTTGGAAGACTAAATAGCAAACCAAAAAAAAAGAGAGAGAGGGAGAAATTTATGTCAATCTAGGTGAGACGTTTTATTTATGTCTCACACAGGTTGACATAGATTTTAGTGTATGACCTACCTGTGTGAAACATTTTATTTACCCACACAAAAAGATATTCGCTTTCGTACTCAGAGCTGTGTTGAAAAATTAGACACATTTTTATTTCAGAAGAAAGCTTGTGCAGTTCAAAGTTTTTTTTGCATAAAAATAATGCAGAAGTGCTGCATTTTATATGCATCAATGTCACATCCGCATTTGTTCCCTTGAGGCTAATTTCGAAATACAGAAAATTGTTAAGCCCAAAAACCCTATTCATATCATATTATATCTTCATCAACCCGGATCTAAAGTTAATATTTATGTACAGCAAAACTTCGGTTTGCGAATCTAAGCCATTTGTCAACTAAACCATTCCCAACAGGAAAATATATTTCCAATAAGAATTAATGTAAAATGGATTAGTTCATTCCTGAAACAAAGATAACTGCTTGTTTAAACTATAGCAACAGCACAATTAAGAAGGTAAAATATAAAATGGCTTAATTTAATATTATCGTAACGTGTACGACATAAGTCGTCAATGACATGAGTCAAAAGTGATGAGTAACAGAAAGGTAAGATATGTTATTGTTTGGATAAAGCGTTTCCCTATTTAGTATTTCTTAGCGCCCTTCAATTCAGACTGAGCCTCACTGCATCTTTATTTTATTCAAATTTCGTCCAGGATGGTTTGTCATTGTCAACGTTTTAATAGTTTCTAAAGTAAAAGACATCATTTATCATTGAAAATGCGGATGCTGTAACTTGCTTCTGCTTTATCAAGGTGTGATATAGTTAAATGAAAACTTTGAATCTTACCACGTTTTGCACAAACTTTGATGATCAAATAACTGGGATCATCATTTTTTCCTTTCCTTTCTACTGAAGCTATTTGCTCCACAATCATCTTTCGTTGCTGCTTTAGAAAATATTCTATTTCTTTGTTGTTATTTTATGGTCCTCTAGTAATTTCTCCAAGTCTTCATTTTAAATTTCCATAATTGAGATACAGGCATAATATCACACATAATCAAAAGGTAAATAAGTCGTTAAGTTGTCGAAGCCTTTAAACTGCTATTTTGTCATAATTTAATTGTAATTAATTTTGTCATAATTTAATAATTGCCTTTAAATTGCTATTTTGTCTACAGGCTATTTTGTCATAATTTCCACTAAGCCTAATCCATAATCTCGTTCATCACTTTCTTCCAGGCTTTGTTAAGGAGATGTAAGCAACAAGAAATATTAGAAATTATGCATCCATAAATCCCTGCATGTTAAATCCGTGCCATAGATTATCTTAAAACCCCTCTGAAAACCACTTATTGCAGACTTGCATGTTCGTAATTCGAGATACCGTTCGTCATCAGAGACAGATTTTGTTCAGATAATTTGTTCGTGAACCAAATAGTTGGCGATGAAATGCGTTCGTGATCCGATATTCAAATGTATTTATTTTGTTTAGAAACTCATCTCCGTTTGATACAATCAAACGGTTTTTAAAGTTAACAGCATAGGCTGCAACTGAAGTTTTAAGTTATATATTAATTGTAATAGCATAAGTGTGTTATCCATTGAAAGAATCTGCCATTAATATTAATTTTAGAATTTCCAGAATGTTTGAAAATTTGAGTTGTATACTACTTTCTTATCACCTTATATAATAAACAGGCAGGCTTCTGATTAACACTCCCAGTCACATCATGGTTATATCTGTTTGCAAAGGTCACTTAACGCGAGACTTTATAAGTCAGAAGAAATTATTTCGAAAGCGTTTAAGAGCTTTAAATAGCTCTGATTGTATAACAGCTGGTCTTGGGAGAAAAGGCTCTTAGTTCGATCTATTTGGAGCCTAGATCTTTTCAACTATGTCCAAAGGAACAAAACTTTTGGAGGGATAGCTGAACTACCTACCATCGTTTCACATCGCACATTTAGATAATATACAGTGCGTCCCGGACGTTTCCGTACTCTGATCAAACTTTTCGTGATTTAATGTAATGAACTCCACTGGCATGCTTTCATAATTATGTCATGTACATCGTTGGTACATGAAGCAACTTAACTCTACTCCACTGTTTTAATAAAACATCTGTTTTAAAGTCTCATCTAAAGAAACAATTTAGATACGAAATTCTCTGGCACTCTGAATGACTAAAAGTGGTCTTATGTTAAGAATGGAAATCAGACATCCATGAAGATATCTGCATGTCCATGCTATCGAATATCATAAACATTTCCTATAACTTTTAAATGCGTAATATGGTTTTGTATACCGGCTAACAAAAATAACAGACAGTAATGTTTGCTATTTTAATTAAGTTTATTTTAATTAATACGTTATTTCATGTGATGAAACTTTCCTTCCCTTATCTATTCCTCCAGAAAATGTAAATTAAGTGAGTTTAATTAACAAGCGAGAATTAATTAAATTTAGGGAAAGAGTTTTGGCAACTTAGACTTAAAGCCTGATGATTTTGTGTCTTCCTGAAGAAGTGTTCTACTGCTTGTTGTGAGTAAACTTTTCACTTAATTGTTACCGCATTAACACAGAAGCTGGGATTTTAGTCTTTAATATTTTAATTTGTAAATATGAGCTGTTTTCTACTATCAAGCCGTAAGCAACCGAACTTTAGTTGACTATTTTATTTAGGTATAATCTTCAAATTAAAGTACCAATTAATATATTAATAGTTTCTATAAGGTTCTTGTTATTATTTTGGGCTTTAGGATCTTAAGTCAAGACGGGACGAAAAGTCATCTGGCAATGTAAGGTACTCAGTGCATATTAAATGTATCTGGAATGAAACGTTGAACACTGGCAAACGTAAAGTGAAGATGAACATTCTAAAGACTTCGAGTATGGAATTTGAAGGTTCTTCTTTGCGAAAATAGGTATTCCTGATGAAGTTATCTGCTGTCGAAGCCTGCACTTCGATAGCAGTCCACATTTAAGGATTAAAAGTCGAATAAAACTTGGTACGACCTACTTATACAAGTTCTGTGCGATCTTACTGAATACACCTTTTAAAATCTCAACTTTTACAAGCTCTATACTTTTTGACGTGGTTTCAATAATAAATTCATTCTCTCCGTAGTAGTCTACCTCTATAGCTTTTGACGTGATTTCAAGTATGGGCTCAGTATTACCGTAGTTGAATAGTCTAGCTCTATAGATTTTGACACTATTTCACATACCGAATCTCATGAACATTAATAGCAGGATGATGACCTTTTACAGTTGGCGCTGTCACAACCTAAAATAAAACCTTAAAATATTTCTCAGTTAAAGGAAGATTCTTATCGTAGAATACTAGTTAGTAATGTAATAATTTTAATGTGAAATAATATGCAGAGTAAAACCAATTCATTTTTCTAGTGCCGAAGATATAGCAGTTTAATTGTTTCAGGATTGAAATCTTCAATAAAAATTTAATGTAACATTTCAAAAGGCAAAATGCTGCATTATTCCAACTCACAAATAATTTAAGCTGAAAGAAAAAATCCTGATTTTCATTTCTGAGAAGTTATGAAATAAAAACGTATACGCTCAAAAATTATTTCATTTCTTGTATAAAATTAAAACCCTTACTATGTTCATTAAAGTTGTTTATAAGAATAGTTTTGTATTTACTTAGAATTATTTCTCTGCATTTTTAAGTAATGAAAAACTGGTTATAAAAGCAGTTTTAAACAAGTTAGTTAGAAAAATAATTTTAAATTAGTTGCAAAACTATTTTAAAATAAAATTAATAAAACAGTTTTATAGTTTTCAGAATTACATTTCTCCCCTTCATTACTTTCTGTAGATGATAATATAAAGAATTTGCATCTTTGTTACAAATCAGCTCAAATGTCTTATAAATAAAAAAAATCAAATATAAAATAAAAAGCTTATAAATTTATCTTTTTTGCAGAGAGGTACAATGGAATGGATGCAGGAAATCCAAAAGAGATTCCGTCGGGATCCGGTACGTAAATTAAATCAATTGTTTCAGTAATTTTCAGAAATATTTTTGCAATACTTACCAACGTTTCTTACGAAAAATTTAATATGTATTCATTATTAGAAAGAAGATAATGCTTGTATTTTCTATGAGGTCAAGATTAATCTCCTGTCAGTGTCTTCAATTCTTATAGTGCCATAAAAATTATTTATGCGTGAGAAAATGATGAAAATCTCTGAATATCATTCGGAATAAAACATCAAATAAAGCATCGAAACAATAAGCATTTCATTTCATTTTAATTGTTTTAAACTAGAGTTTTGAGGAAGTGAGGCTAGTGTAATTAATCTCAATAAAAATTCCAAGCTAGCACTTATTCTTGAAAGGGGGTGCTTATTAAATTTTCCGATTCTCTCGGTAACTTCGTTACCGTGTAAGACTTGCAAGAATTACCTCTCAAATAAAATAACACAGAACTCCTAATTAAAAAAAATACTTGACCTTAAGTTTCAACAGATTAAAAAAAAGCGAAATAAATCAGGCGAAATAAAGTTAGGGCGAAATAAAATTTTTCCCTAAATTAGGAATTCTGGTTATTCAGTTTTATTTCCTTTCTTTTTTATAATTCGTGATTTGTTTGAAATAGTATATTACGATATATAGTAATAACTATAGGTAACTGATGTCCTACAGTACCTTCAAAAATTTTTCTAAGAGTAAATGGCTAATATTTTCTCTGCAACACTAGGGAAACATCGGAATATCCAGACCTATGACTGTACCTTGATAATTTTATCTCTTAATAGATTCTCTGGAACATAATGTACAAAAATATTATCAATGTCCAAAGATTTCTTCGATTGAAGTCGAAAATCTGCAATATTGTATATATATTCTCGTCTGAAACAGATTTGTTGTGCTGTATCGTATGAATTTCAGATGAAGTCAATTTTACAGTCTTTAATTATTATTAAACTGATTTATGTATCCTATTTTAGCTAATAAGACCGGATATTTTCGCTAAAAAATGTATCTCAAAATCCAAACACGTCTTACACGCAGAAGCTTGAAATTTAACTTAGAATTTTCGCCGTGTATAATTTTTTTACTTTAAGTTTTCTGTCTAAGATATGATTTAGAAAATAATATGTAACTAACTGAAATGTAGGTAAGTTTAATGAATTATGAAAAGAAAACTGGTAGATTGTGCGTTATGTTTATTATTCCTTAACAAATAGTCCATAAGTTATATGTGATTTAACGAAACAGTTTAACGAAATTTGTTCTGCTCAAATTAGTGATTATCGAAGGCTTCCCTCTATGCTATGATGAATACGAATCAGTTATTTTTAGAAAGTCATCCATGAAGGCATCCCTTCTCTCAGGCAGGAAGCCCCGCATATGCTTTGTTTCAGTTAATTAACCTAACCTATTTAACCCTCTATATTACAATCTTGAAGATATAATTTTACAGGCGATACTTCTATGAAAGCAAGAACTTTCATAGTTCATGAGTGTTTATCGGCAGGAGCAAAATTAAAACACAGAAAACTTTCATCTCTTTGGAACCAGAGAACACAGCATTGGGTTCATCTAAGGATCTGACTACGGAAATAGCCTGACTACAGTATCTAATAATCTGGAATATCAGATATCTTCAACACAGGAATTGACATGTCTATGAATAGGTTCAGCAGACATCCTGAAACTGAACCGATAAATTACAAAAAATTTCCACTTGCCGTCCACTACTCCGTAAGTGACTATGACTGTAAAACATAACGTTTTTAACTCCTTACAACGATAAATGCAAAAATAGAAGAGATTCCAAAAGAAACATTTTTTGTCCCTAAAGATGACCTTAAGGATAATCTTTAAAGATGAGTCAAAACCGTAATAGTAACCATTTATATATTTTTAATATGTATAATTGTTTTACAAAAATATTCCTTAATTCGTTTTCAATCAGTAATGCGTAAGATGCTGGAAAATTATTTCCGTCAGTGAAGAATTGTGTTTCCTCTAAAATACTTTTCCTAGAAGTACCCTTGGAAAAACATTCCATCTTAACGCTTAATTAGCTATACGGCCGTTTTTATGGTGTCAGGTGCATAAGAGCTAGTTTCACTTAAATGTCCTCTATGAAGGCATACCTCTTTTGGCATATAGCAATCGTGTGCTTCGCCATCGTTAAATTAACTAATCAACCGATCATATTTTAGAAGTGTTAAACTGTTCCAAATGTACTAATTATGGGGCTTACTTAAAAGTTCTGTATCTACCTCTATTTCTCTTTCTGAATATTATTCACAGTAGCCCAGTACTGACTTTTGTGAAAGTTATACATTGACGTGTTTGGATTTATAGTCGGACAGCCATGACCTTCTGTACTTGGTCGCAGCTAGTGGAAATATCCAGTATATACTTTCTCTCTATTTTCAGTATCACTGTGAAAATTCAACGGAAATAAATTATTGAATTTTTTTTTAAATCGGGAAGATCCCTAGGGAAACAGTTGAAAGATTACTGTATGTATATAGGGATAAAATGCTTCAATATTTCGCCGGTAAAAGAGGTATCACCCGAGGAAAAATTGGCCGAGTTTGCTCTTGAAGCAGTGATTTTGCTCCAGAAAAATGCCCGAATGCACGCTTTTGCTGTGATATAGGCAGCACCGAGTGAAATTGATTTGTCATCTCTTAGAATACTCTACATATAGCTTACATATAATGACTTAATGATTTCTGCATTTTCTAAAAAGGTAATTCCATGGGAGTGAAGGAGAGATTTTTTTTTCAAATTTCGAGGAAGTGAAAATCACTGCACCCGCAGGGCTAAATAGATTGCCTCGGAAAAATTTATTTTGTATTTCTGCGCGTGTTTCTGTCAAAAGAATAATTTAGTCTGAAGAAGTTATATTTAAAAAAAAGTACTTGGACCCAAGAATGATCGTGTTTTGAACAAAAGAATTGGTCTAAAAACGTTTTAACAAGCTTACGCATAATATCAGTATTCTATGAAGTTTAAAATAATTACTTTAAAGCCTGAAATGATTATTGATGTTTTTAAAAACCAATTTATACTTCAATAAATCTTCCGCATTATACGTGTAGATTGCAATTTTGAAATTGAAAGTGTAATTGTGTAAAAATGGGTATTAAACTGGGTGGGGGGTAATTTAATTTACTTAAAAGTTATTTTATATTCAATCAATTATCCTATCGCTCTTGCTTTCAACTCATAATTCCTTGCCAGAGTGCAAATTGACTAGCCCTCGTGTATTCAAATTAAGCAGAAGAAAAGAAGTATTTAAAGGAAGGTTTTGGAAGGTAAAATCAGAGCGTATTCTGCCTGCTTGAAGGCCACGTTGCAAAACTTGATTCTCTAGCGATTAGATTTATGTTGCTTTCAGTTGTTCTTGCCATTACGCTGGTTTACGCCGAACTTTCGAATCAGAGCTAGCTTGCGGCATAGTTAAACTGGGAAGCCGTTAGGTTATACTTAACTTCATTAATTTTTTTAAGTTATTCATTACCTTTTGAGTTAACCTAAAATTGCTGGCTTTTATAAGCACGAGTTGGTGCCGACTGTAAACCTTATTGGAGTTAATAATAATTTCCTTCTCCTTACTTTGTAGTACTTCAAAAGACTTGATGATAATTCACCAAACAACCTTCAAAGTCGAGTACATTTGATGATAGCAAAGGGAGTACGACATTACAAAAAACTTCCAGCCATTCTTTATAATCTTTTTCGTTTTTTAAATTTCAAACTTAGAGTTTAACTTTATCATTATATTTTCGATTAATATATGCTTTACTATTTATTTAAAAATCATTATTTATTTCTTGACCTGAACATTTGTTTTTCGAAATTCATAAAACCATATTCAATACTTCAGACAATTCAGTATTTTAACTTTTAACGAGATATTTTTTTATATCTCGTTAAAAGTTAAAATACTGAATATATTTTTGTATATTTAACGAATGTGTTATAACTCTTGACAGAACAATTTTCATAAATGCCTTAAATTTAGTGAGGTTTCTACTTATACTACCAATCTGCTATGCTGAACTAATTATCATTAACAGCAAAGACTCCGATTACCTTTTCTGAAATGTTGGAGGTAATTTTAATATCATTTGTAACCACATCAGTAGCAGGAGCCACTTAACCAGAATATTCCTATTTTCCCCAGAAATTATCAGAACTGTATCTGATCAGAAAGTACCGCTACACTGATCGATCACAAACGTCTGGGTAATTCGTTAATATCTCAAAAAAGTAGGCAAAAAAAGTATTAAAGAAAAGTATTGGATTCGAGATGCGGGCTTAAACTGTGAAAATAAAAATTAGTGGGATGAATCCCAAAGCTTTTTGAATCCTCGAATTTTCTGAATTCCGTATCTCACAGATCTTTCATAAAAAGTTTAATAACAGGAAAAGCGAAAAAGATAGTTTTTCCTAAAATTTAAAATTAGTAGTTAAGGAAAATTTCGAAGCGTTATGTTTATTAAAAACGAGTTTATAACGCAGTTTCTGAATATTAATTTATATTAAAAACATACATAGGAAATTTAATGAATGCATTGGTCCAAAAATAATTCAAGTAATAGTTTTTTTTTGCATTTTTTTTAATATCAAAGCAAGTCATTATTTCAAGATTTAATGTAGATAAACAGAAACATGAAATAACAAGTTATTAAAAAAAAAAAAAGAAGTGTGCAACTGGAGCGACAACGAGGTGATTGACACAAGTCCATTAAATTTGAGCAGCCACATTTTCTATGGAACTTTTTATTTGACGTCAATACTACTAATCATTCCAAAATTTTGAATAAAAGATTTATTTTAGATTTGAAAGACTGAAATAGCCAAAAATGTACAAAGATTTTGAAAATTTAATTATCAGCGAAAAACTGTTTCCTTTTTTAGGGGAGCTTAAATTAATTTGAAATAGGTAAGTAGAAATTAACAGGATATGATAGCATATTTTTTCATAGGAATAAAGTAATGGTAGA